GGCCGTCCTCCCTCCGTGGCTCTCCCACGCCCAGACCTGCGCAGAGCCGTGAGTCGGGCGCTCCTCACTTAGGCTGTGCAACCACCGCAGGATGCGTGCAGGGGTTGTGTGTCTGCGTGGGTGTGTTCTGAGTATGCGTGTGTGTGTGTGTGTTTGAGTGGCATGTCTGGGTGTGTGAGTGCGAGAGTGAATCTGGCCCGTCGAGAGGCTGAGCGGGGAGGGCCGCACGCCGAGGCTTGGCCGGGAGGGGGCTGCTGCATCGCCTGAGCCGTCCCCAGGATCCGCTCTCTCTCATCCTCTCCTAATCCCTGTGCAAACTTAAGACGAGGCAGGCTGAGACCTTCTATTACTGCCAAAAGCCATCCAGAAGCCATTCAAACACTCTGTATCGGTCCTTCTGGGAGACGTGTACAAGCCTGGAAGCCACGTGGCAGCGGCAGGCCTTCTGGTGTCCTCTGCGGGGCAGCACGCGGCTTCTCGACAAACGGGGCGCTCTCTGCGGAGCCCCTGGGTACCAGGGCGGGCAGGGCGCGGCGGCAGCGCGCGGGCCCGGCGGGCGGGCACAGCCTGTCACAGGCCAGCTCCTGCGCTGCTCGCTTCCTTGTGTTCTTTCACGCTCTCAGCAGAGGAGCGCTGTAAGGTCAGAATGATCATTTTCCTTTGAAGGAAGCAAGCGGGGGAAGCAGAGCGGCCGCCCAGCTGCCTGCGCGGGCGGGAGCTCAGGTCGCTGGCTGCAATCTCGAACGCGGAGAACTCTGCTGGCCTCGCGTATCAGCCTTCTCTTGTCTCTGTCTATGGCTACCCTTTGATCAGACTTGCGGGCACTAGGTTCTGCTAAGACGTTCCGGGGATCTGATTGTATCTTGGCCCGGTGCCCAGGAAAACACCTCCTCCATCTCCCTTGCCCTCTGGAGCTTGGTTTGTCACACGCCAGCGTGACTTAGCAAAATTCTCTGATTGCGGAAAGGGGAGAGGATATTCTGAAGATGGCTGAGTTCTCAGAATTCTTGCCATTTGCAGCAAAATGTGGCATAATTTCACATTTCATTTATCTGGCTGTGGTCACAAACGTGCTGCCCTGTGACACGGTGACTCAACTGTCCAGCTTCTGGTAACACAATGTCGTGAACTGTAGGTGGGAGGAGAGCCCCTGCCCCGTCTGTTTTTTTAATCAAGAGCCTTAGGGTCATTGATTTCACTGTCACCCTGATTATTTCTGGGTTTTCAGGGAAGGGGGTGTATTCTCTGTTGCTCTCTGTCACCCTGTGGTTGGCAGTAGGGACAGTCCTGCTTCAGGAAGGACAGGAAGAGACAGGGCAGGGTCAGAGAATAATTTAGGGGGACCATTGAGGAATGTCTGGGAGGACACGTTTGCATCGTCCTGTGTGCTGTTTCTTTTTACTGATTACACTGCCCCACAGAAACAGTTACACTTGGAGTTATAGCTCATGCCTGTGTTACCTGCACATGGTTCAGGGTTACTGTTCTGTCACCAAAACCTGGTCTGTCAGATTCACCCTACCCAGGGTGCAATTGTGGTATCAAAGTGACTAATGATAAACTAAAGGCTTGTAGTGATCCTCCTGTCTCAGCCTCCCTAGCACTGGGCCCAGTTTTGTTGGCTGGCACGACGTGCCTGGGGTTCTGGGGCTAGCACCCAGGATGGAACCGCAGTCTTTGAGCTTGACAGGCAGGCACTTAGACTGCTGAGCTATCTCCTAGTTCCCCCCTCCCCACACTATTTTTGCCTACCTGCAGTTGAACCCAGGACACTGAGATACAATCTCAGCCTGCTTGTATTTTTTATTTTGAAACCAGTTCTTTTTTTTTTTTTTTTCAGAACCAGGGATTGAACTTAGGCCCTTGTGCTTGCTGTGCAAGCACTTATTCTAATGAGCCATCTCTCCAGCGCCTTGAAACTAGTTCTTTCTAAGCCACTAACCTGAGCAGTTGGGACTTGAACTTGTCATCCTCCTGCTTTAGTCTCCCAAGTGCTGGGATTCCAGGAATATGCCATTACACCTGGCTTCACTCCACACTCGTAGAAGAGGACTGTCACTTACCCGTTTTAGCCCCATGTTAGCCTCACTGAGGAGCAGAGAAGCTCAGCCTCTGGCCCATGTTTATGGGGTGAGGCTGAGGTGCTTGCTCTTCCCAGCCGCTGGGAGCTCCCTGGTCTGCGTGCCTCCCAGTGTGTGTCGAGGCCCCCGGGACGGTGTTAGCAGATGGGTGTGGAGAGCTGACCCAAGGGTGTAGCTTTAGTAATGGGACTAGCACGCTCCTAAGAAGTGAGTCAGGGTCTTGCTGAGTTGTTCATATTGGGCTTGAACTGTGAGCTTCCTCCTGCCTCAGCCTCCCAAGGGCTGGCCTTATTGGCATGGTTATCCTGTCCAGCTGGGAAGTGAATCTTTAAAGAACAAAACAACAGTAGCCAGAGAGGAGTGGGCTGTGATCACTGGGTTCTGCTACAGGAGCCCCAGCCATGCATATGGGGTGTTCTCATGGCAGAGAGGCCTGGTCGTGTGTGTATGCGGGGCTCCCACAGGAGGTAAGCTAGGAATATGGTCTACCTCTGCCCTAGAGCACCCTCTCCCTCCTCAGAACACATAGACTACAACTTTTGAGAAATGTATCTCATTTACTATATTGGGGAGAGTAGGGGTGGGAGTGTGGGGGTAGCTTAGGGCAGGACAGAGGGCGAAGTTAGAATCTGCTAGGCCTGGGTTCAAATCCTGACTTTGCCACTTAGTTGATGAATAAAGCTAGAGTAGGTTTAATTAGCACTGGAAAAGCTTCCCACTTTTCCAGGGGAGGTGAGAAAGGGTCAGGCAAGTCCTGGGTAGGAGCTGGGGGAGGTACAGAGGCAGGGGTCTAGAGCCTTGGAGAATGGGCAGGGAAGACAGCCTAGCCGGGGCCTGCTGCAGGAGGGCTCATGAGAGCCACTGAGGACCAGGCCAGCACTGGGAACAGACAGGATGAGCTGCATGGGCAGCGGCACCCACACGCCCGCCAGCTCTGGTGCAAGGGTTACCTGGCAGTTTGAATCCGCCCTTTTTATTCCTGGATAAGGAAGGACGGCCAGGTGCACAAAGCCCTCAGCGCTTCCAGCCTTCTGCTCACTTCCTGCAAACAGCTCCAGGAACCTGTGCCTCGGCGGGAGCCATGGCAGGCGACGCAGTGCTGCTAGCTGTGGTCTCCGTCCTCTCTGCGTGTCAGCAAGGTAAGCACACACAGTGTGTGTGTGTGTGTGTGTGTGAGAGAGAGAGAGAGAGACAGACAGACAGACAGACAGAGACAGAGACAGACAGACAGAGACAGACAGAGACAGAAACAGACAGAGACAGAGAGACAGAGACAGAGAGGCGAGCTGGGAGCTCTGTTCTTTGTCCGGGTTTCTCCTCGCCCTTGCCAGGGTCACCCAATGGCCTCTCCTGGACAGTCAGACCTCAGGAGCATTCCAGAGGTTAGTGTTCCCCACAGGGATGTCACTGAGGGTCCTCAGACTTGGTGACATCCACTGAGATGGCCCACAGCCGGCTCCTGGGAGCACTTGCCAGGGGAAGCTGCTTGGGGAGCAGGGTGTGAGCGTCACACGTGAGTGTTCAGAGCCCAAGCAGGGGCTCTTGGAACGTGATCTTTTAATTAATGTGTTTCCTTACATGAACTGCCTGTGGCAGGCCTGATCACGTTAAAACAAGTCTCTAGCAGGAACAGAGCTTTGGATGAAGCAATTAATTCTAATATTGAAAACACCTCCGCCTCAAGTGTCTTGCTTGCATGATTAAACAGAGGACTTCTTCCCCATGTTTGCCAGATTCAGGGCGTCACCCACTGAGCCTGGAGGGGAAGGGGTGCGCCAGGCCCCTTGTGGAACCCAGATCCGCCCTTGGGTCACTCTCCCAGTGTGCATGTGCCCGGAAGCAGGCCCAGCGGTGCCCCAAGCAGTGCCCTGCTTGGGTCCTAGGCCACGCTGCAGCCAGAGTGTGGCAGCACGGGTCCAAGTCCGCGCCTCCCGCACTCAGCGTCTTGTCCTGCCTTCTGTTTTGCGAGTGTGTGCCATCCTGTGGGTTGATGTGATACTTCTTGTAAAGGAATACATCCACACCAGTAAATGCCCTGGAGCCCACATGCATCTCATCCCGAGCTGGAGGACGCCTGGGGGCTAAGGGGCTCAGGGGCTCAGGGGCCCCCTTCCCTGGGGCTCCTGCTTGCTGATGGGTGTGGGGGAGAAAGGTGTCAAGGGGGCTGGGGGTTTGGCAAGAAGAGGGTGGTAGGAGTGGGAAGAGAAAGGGGACCCGGGCTGACATGACTCATGGTGGTTGGGATAGTTAATGGTAGCACCGAGAGCCAGCGCTTTGCCACTTTCTCTGGAGCAGGATACAGACACCTGGGGTTGGAAGACAGACTCCTTCTTATCTACGGCCTGGTGCAGGCAGGAGGGCATTGTGCCCACAGGATGCAGGGTGAGAGCTGCGGGATGGAGGCACAGCTGCCCAGAAGAAGCAGCTGCGGCCAGGCAGGCAGGCAGGCTGGGCGGGCGGGAGGGCATCATAGGCACTGGGCCCCCTAGAGAAAGCAGGGAAGAGGAGGGACAGGTAGACCTAAAGGGGACAGTTCTCAAGTGGCTTGGAGAGGAAATAAAATGCAAGCTTTACATAAACACAGGTGCAATAGCTTATCTACCTTCAGTGCTGGAAGTGGAGTGGCCCTTACAGCCCTCCCTGCTTTGGGGTAGTGGGCACTGCAGTCCTTTCCAGGTGGGGGACCAGCGCCCCTGGCACCTTCCTACTGGCACGCACAGTTCACAGCCTGGAGAGAGACAGCATGGCTCCGTCCTAAAGCTCCAGGCGACTCCTGTGCCGCTGCTGACTCATCCACCTGGGGGGGGGGAGGGGCCTGGCGGTGGCAGGTCAGGGTGGGCGGGGCGAAGCCCAGTGTCTGAATGGTTGGCATTCTTGGTTCTAGCTGCAGGCAGCCCGGAAGGGTTGCAGCCCACATTTCTAGGTCCTCCTGATGCTCTGCTGTGGTGCAGGGAGAGGGCGGTTGCGTGCGTAGGTGCTCAGCAGGAGGGCAGAGACGTTGGCCAGTAGCGTCTTGATAGCAGAGAGGGGCAGTGGAGAAGGCAGCGTGTGCCTGGGAGCTCTTGCTAAGCCAGGTCAGCACAGGCACGCTATGGAGGCAGAGCATTTTCTTGTGGTGTACATTTTCTTGTGGTCCCATGCTGGAGACAGGACCTGGGGCCTCCAGCACACTAGGCAAGTGCTCAGCCGCTGGGCTCTGTCCATCTGCTTTTGTAGAATTTTAAGAGGAAACTTATGTTTTGGTTTTTGACATTGGGCTTCCCTAAGTTGCATAGGCTGGGCGTGAACTTGCTGTCCTCCTGCCTCAGCTGCCCAGAGTGCAGAGAAGAAACTGTTCTGAAGACATTAGCAAGTAGGAAATAGATATGAGGCACCAACATGAGATAGAAAATAATGTTGGAGAGAGTTGAAAAAGATGAGAAACTGGGAGAAATAATAGACCCCAGGAGATAATTATGGTGTGAAAAATAGGTAAAGACAGGAAGTTAAAATAATGGCAGATTGAGAAACTGCCCAAGAAGGACACATAGATGGAAAGTGCAGGAGGTCCTCAGATGGAATTACAAGATGTAGGTGACCCCAGGCACTGGCAGCTGATAATCTGACACAATGTCTGCATAGCAAGCAAAGGAGAAGAAGTCATACCATTTAGTAACAGGGAAGCGGAGTCAGGAGAGAGCTGCTCTCTCCAAAGCTTTTCCTGTTTCCTTCCCTCCCAGCCTCTCCTTCTTACTCTTTTTTTCTTTTTGGCAGGACTGGGGATTGAACTCAGGCCCTTGTGCTTGCTAGGGAAGCCCTTATTCCACTGAGCCGTCTCCCCGGCCCCTCCTTCTTACTCTTAATAACCACTCATCGCTTTGTTCATTTACATTTTTGAGATCTTATGACTTTACACAATAGTGGTGTTTTTATCCTTGGTTTCATTTTCAGGGGCTGGTTTCATTTTCATAATCTTTCTGGGATTCGTTAATATTGTTTTGCATATCAGTAGTTCTGGTCCTGTTGCATGAAAATGTCAGTTTTATCCATATATTTACTGATGGATAGGAAATCAGCCAGTGTTTTCCAGGAAAATACAAGCAGTAGGATATGCGCACACAGACACACACACACACACGCACACACAAACTGCTCATGTGATGGGGGTGGGTAAGTCCTGAATCTGCAGGACAGGCTGGTCAGCCAGAAAGTGTGGCAAAAATTAATGTTGCATTCCAATCCATAGTTGAAGGCAGGTAGAAGCAGGATTCTTTCCTTTTGGGGGAATTTTAGTCTTGTCTCTTAAAATCTTCAACTGATGGGATGAGGCACACCTGCATTATGGAGGGTGATCTACTTATTTAAAAATTAATCTAAAAAACACCTCTGGGGGCTGGTGAGATGGCTCAGTGGTCTAAAGCACCTACTTAGAACAAGCTAAGCTAAGCAAAAGCACAGGGACTACGGTTCAATCCCTAGCACCACATGCCAGCCAGCCCCGCCCCCTGGTGAGCTGAACTGGCCACACACACAGAAAATAAATAAATAAATAAATAACTAAAGAAATTATATTAAAAACAACAACAACAAAAAAAAACACCTCAGCAGCAACACCTAGATTGGTGTTTGACTGGACAGCACCATAGTCCAGCCAAATTGAAGGAAATTTTTTTTTTTTTGGTGGAACTGGGGATTGAACTCAGGCCCTTGTGCTTGCCAGGGAAGCGCTTATTCTATTGAGCCATCTCCCCAGTCCCTATTCCAGCCAAATTGAGACATCAAATTAACCATCATGAAGTTGTTTCTAGTTTTGGGCTACTGTGGGTACAGGTCTTTCCTTTCCTTTTTTTTCTTTCGAGATAGGGTCTTGCTATGCAGTTTAGGGCTGGCCTTCAACTCTGTAGCTTAGGCTGGTCTTGAGCTCTCAGCAACCCTCCTGCCTCAGCCTCCCCGAGTGCTGGGATTACAGATGTGCACCACCATGCCAGGGCCAAACCTTTCTACAGACATGTCATTTCATTGCTCTCAGGTAAACATTTATGGGCAGAGTGATGGAGTCATATGGTTGATGTGTGTATAATTAAAGAAATCCCTGTCACTCTGTTTTTCAAAGCAGTTGTGCCATTTTCCATTGCTCTCAGCCTTGCCCTCAGGTTCTAGTCACTCACATCCTCGCTGGACAATCTGCATCTTGCTCATGACTAATGCCACGCCCCATTTTTACCACAGCATTCCCTTTCCTTGCAGGTTACTTTGCTTGGCAAGTGGGAAGGGCAAGATTAAAATGCAAAGTGATGCCCCCAGCGGTCACCGGTTCTCTGGATTTTGAGAGAGTGTTTCGAGCACAGTAAGTAGTGAGCTTCCCGCCCTATGGACCTGCACCTGCTGCAGATGCACAATTTCTAACTCTGATGGAGAGAAGAGCACTGGGAAGGCCCTAAGTCCATGGCCATACCAGCCCTAAATAAACGCTTCCCAGCCGAGACCTGCCCATAGCCCGCGAAGCTGGAGGCACCCAGTGTGTGGAGTCGCTACTCAGCTTGACCTCAGGTTCAGCAGGGATATTTACCGAGAAGGCTGAGATCTCGGCAGAAACCTCTCCATCTCTCAAGCAGGGCAGCTTGGTCCACGTGACCCATCCAGCCCTATGAACATGCAGCAGACACAGAATCATTTCTGTCTTTGTTTCTCCTTCTTACTTCAATATGCCCCTGCCCATTTCTCTACAAAGCATTTGCCAAAATTGGAAACAAGGATGAGTGAGAAATCTGTCCAGGTCTCAAGGTCCGAAGTATTTGGATCGCCTGGAGCTCCTCACTTTTCTAGACCCACAGAGAAGCTTCTGCCATCAACACCATGGTCGTCTGCTGCAAGGGGCTAGGGCTCCTTATATATTTGGTCCCCAAAATGAAGTACTTTTAAAAAAACATTGAATGTGCCACTGTTCGTGCTTTGCTGGGTACTTTTGTTATTGTTTTGAGATTTTTCTCTTTCCGTCCGTGCATGAGGCTGGCCTGTAGTTTATCTCTTTGATCCAGTCCTGTCCCATGTGGTATCAAGATGTTGCTAAGGTCAACCGAGGTGGAAGAGTCATCCTGTATGTTTTCGCAGATAATTTTGCTTAGGTTGAAAGAGTGTGTTGCTTCAAATTTGTGTACAACTTGGCTTCAAATTATCTGGATCTGATGTTTTTCTTGTAGGAAAAATTTGGGCTATGAGAGATTCTTTTTTTCCTTAAGGATTATTGGACAACTTTTTTCTTTCTGTGTTTGGTACAGGGTCTAAAGGGTCTACAGGGCCTACAGGGCCTACAGGGTCTCACTGCATAGATGGGATTAGTAGTGATCCACCTGTGTTCAGCCTCCCAACGAGCTAGGATTATAGGCACACGCCACCATGCCCAGTCTCAATCACTGTCCCAGCACGCCCCAGGGGCAGGGCTGGCACGGCACACTGGGGATCGAACCCTGGCCACTGCATCTGCCTAAGCAGTGGACATTTTTTTTTTTAACCTCTTGAGTTTAGTTTTGGCACGTCATGGCTTTAGGGTGACACCATATCTCTTGCTCATTCACTGATGCCAAGGAGGATTTGGGAAACTTTTCCCTGGGCTTGGGCATGTTGAATAAATTCTGCTGGTAGTTCACAAGGCAATTTTAAAAGGTGTGGAGATTGGATTTTAAATAATGTTGAGCCATATGATGAGAAGTCTTTCAATTGTCATTGAATCCTTACGGTCTTCAAGTTTCTTCTTATCATCTGTTTGACCTTTGTCTCTTATTTTTTTCATTAAGTGAAAGTACCCATTAAGGGCTAGCCTGATAGCTCAGCAGACTAAAGCAGCTGCTGATAAGAGCAAGGTTAAATGAGGAGGCCACTGCAGTGGTCCGAGTGACAGACGTGGTGGCTGGAACCTCCACGGAGGAGGTGATGGTGGTGGTCAGATTTGGGTGAATTTGGAGGGTAGAACCAAAAGAATTTTGAATGTAGAGTGTAACGAGAGTCAAGAGCGGCCTAAGCAGGGAAATGCCAATGCAGTAGGAGAGGAGTTGTTCTTTGGGGGATCAGCCGGTTTAGTTTAACATGTCCGTGACATGACTTATGCTACAGCCAGGGTGCTCAGTTGCTTTTCTCATTGCTGGAACAAAACACCTGACACCCACAGCTTCAAGGAGGAAAGGTTTAATCTCAGCTCACCGTATGTAGAGGTCAGTATGTGCTGGGCTGGCTGAAAGGCAAGTGCCATGGCAGAGGGGCACTGAGAGGAGGAACAGTCCATGGCAGGGTAGCAGGAGCAGCGGGGCAGCAAAGCGGCAGTAGCTTGCCTTTCCCTTTTGTACCTTCCGGGCTTCAACTCTATTGGTTAGTGCCACCCACACCCAGGGTGAGACAAAGAGAGAGAGAGAAAGACAGACACAGAAAGAGGCAGAGAGAGACTGAGAGAAAAAGAAGGGGGGGAGAGAGAGAAAGAGAGCGAGAGCTGCTGGATATAGAAATCTGCATTTCAGGAGTGAGCTCTGAGGTGCAGATATAAAGCTATCTTCACCAGGAATGTGTTCTAAACCAGGAGACTTGATGACACCGTTAGAGTGTGCTGGGTGAAAGTAAAGGAGAAAGAGGACCAAGGCCTGGAGTCTCGGGTGTTGGGAATTCAGGCTGACGACAAGGGCAGTGAGCTCAGGGAGCTGAGCAAAGGAGAATTTAGAGCCTCTGCTCACATGTCACGTAGTCCTTGCCTTGTTCTCTGTGCCGTGAAAACACACCCTGGAGGGCGAGCTGGAAGCCCCATGTGCGTGGCTGCCGTTACTGAGTGGGCAGCCTCACAGAGGGTGAGTGAACACCTGCACCTCTACTGTTCCCAGACTCCCCCAGAGAGTCTCTGACTCAGTTTCTCCAGATCCTGTGATGGGGAAGTGGTCCTTGTATAATCTTTCAGCCAATTCCTCTACACCATCCTCTGGCCTGCCAGGCATCAGGGACCCCAGTTCCTGGCCCCTTCGGGCTCTGGGGCACATCTGATCTGAGACCTCACTGGCTCTTTCGCCTGCTGGCATTTAGCCGGCAGCTTCCTGCCTTCGCCTGCTCAGCTCCTTCCCTTCTGTGCCTGACCACCCTCAGAACCCTGCAACATCTCTCTTCCCTTCTCCTGTGCTAGGTGGCGGGTGTCTATTTTTAAAAATTCTTTTACCAGTACTATAGGGAGGCTTCAGGAGCAAAAAAGAAATACACAGGTCAATCTGCCATGTTTAGGAAGAGGACCCTGGAATAGGTTCTCAGTGATCCTCGGACACTTATTTCTCCACTGAACAGAGAGCTCGTGTTCAGGGTTTTCAGCACCAACAACATCCAACTAGAATTTGGGAGCCCGTTTCTGAGGGGTTTATCACTAACTTTTTTTTTTTTTAAACATTTTTAAAAAAAAATTATTTATTTGTGTGTGTGTGTGTGTGGCCAGCTCAGCCCACCAGGGGGTGGGGCTGGCTGGCATGTGGTGCTGGGGGATTGAACCCTGGTCCCTGTGCTTTGCTAAGCTTGTTCTTAGTAGGTGCTTTAGACCACTGAGCCATCTCACCAGCCCCTCACTAACTCTTTATTTAGAAAGTGATGTTTTTTTCTTCACTTGTGGTAGTGATGTAAAATTTTTTCCTAATTTAAGTTTATTTATTTATTTAGGCGAAACCAGGGACTGAACTCAGGCCCTTGTGCTTGCCAGGGAAGTGCTTATTCCACTCAACCATCTCCCTGGCACCCCCCCCTTTGTCTTTCATGATCTAAGAACTTCTGGTTGGGAAAGCTAGGCTTCCAGCAGGCTAATCGCTGGGCCACTTCTTGGTTCTATTTTTGTTCTCATACTTTCCACAAATTTGACTTTCTTTCCAGTTATTGCTCTTTCCCGCCTCTGCTATATCTGGACTCCTCTTGCCTTAGAAATAAAACTGGGTACCGTTTCCAAGTATTTTTCTTAAGTTTCTATTTATAAAATAAGTATACAAACCCAATTCTTTGACCACAAGTTAAGACAAAAACAATTCCCTTTATTTTGTTTGATTAATTATGGCAGCACAGAGAGGTGTTGAGAAAAAGAATAATATCCCTAAATATCAGGGTGGGAGTCATGAAATGTAGCTTCTTATTGGGTATCCTCAGGACTAGCCAGGTTCTTGCCTTAGATTAGGAGAAATCTGGCCACATCTGGTCCTAGTCATTGCTAGGCAGCCATGTTGACCTCCTCTGAAGTGAGTGAGGCTGTGACCCCTCGACCAGCTAGTTCTTTCCAGAGTCCCTTTGGTGGTTTCTCCCTACCTTGAGTCAGCCTCTTAGGTTCTGCAAACCCATGAAGAAGGAATGTGCTTTCTTTTGTGGTTCTCTTGGGCTGAACCATTGCGTTCCTTCAGCTTCTACGGAAGATCTAGTGACCATGGCTTTCACAGAAATGATGCTTTTCTCTGCCCTTTCTCTGGTTGCTTCTGCTCTCACAATGACCAGTGAGTCAAAGTTATGACCTGGACTGTCTCTCAGGATAACTTGACATCTCATTGTTGGTCATTTTGAGGGGGTTCTGAGCACTGCTAAATGCTTGCCCCATGTGTGAGGGTCACCTCATGTTCTGTATTTGTTTGCCAAGCGGAGAAATTGTGGAGTCTACACTGTAATTCCTGCCCCCCACATTCAGGAAGAGGCCTCCGAGATCACCATCTCTGCAACTTTGCACCCCTTTGCCAAATTGCATTTCAAAATGTCCCGAGGATAGCAACTTTCACTTCCCCAAGAACAGCTCCTTTATGTTTTGCTAAACTTAGAAGGCTCCTTCTTGTCTAAGGCAGGCACCTTGATTCCTTCAGATTAAAGGCTTTTTCTAAAACCTAAAAGTAGATCCAAGTAATAAATTGATCTTGTTGCAATTTAAATACATTTCCTCTGATTTTCTCTTCCCTGGAAGGGATGATTAGCTGCTGACCGCGCTACGCTCACACGCTTCAGGCCACTCTAAGCACCTTTCATCTTCTCTGTTCTGAGACTGGGTAGTGCTAATTCTTCAGTTTTCCCCAACCAGTTTTAGATATTTCAGTTGCTCCCTTTAGACTAAAATTTTAATATTACTTACAAACCTGGAGCCTAGAAATATATGTAGTGTAGCAGCAGTGGTTTCATGGGTGCTTGGTAAGCGAGAAGGTTCTCTCCCGTTGGTCTTGGGAGTTCACTCTGCTTAATTCCGAGCACCTCAGGGCCTGCCCCAAGTCAACTTGTCACAAAGCACAAGAAACCCCACCACTGGAATCTAGGTCCTCTGGAGACAGAAGCCTCTCCTTCCTCTTTAGCAGTTTTGTGTTTTTTCCATTTTTTTTT